TTTTTTTTTTTTTTTTTTTTTTTTTTTTTTTTTTTTTTTTTTTTTTTTTTTTTGCGCGCGCGCACTTATATGTAATGTACTAACATATATATGTATAATAAAAATATTGTATAAAAATGAAAATAATGCTCTTCTTTTTTTGTTCAATTTTTTTGGCGCCTTTTTTAGTGAATATGGCCAAGTTGTTTAATTTGTGAATTTTGTTTAATTCATAATTGTTGCTATAAATTTGTTAATTATGTTAATTTATGTTAATTTTGCTAATTTTGCTGCTTTTTTTTTTTTTTTATCTTTTTTGAAGGGGATATAAAAAACACGACATGTGAGGATTTATATAATGTGCATATAAGTTGAACAAAAAAAAAAAAAAAAAAAATGCGCAATACACTTTTATATATATGTACATTTGGAGAGAATCTTAAAAGAAAAAAAAAACGTAAGCAGTGCACCTGGCATGTGTTACTTAAGGTGTATAAACGAACAGCAAACGTATACCTATTTATACGTACATATAGTTGTATATGGTATTTACATACGCACATCGTATAGATATATATATATACTTATATTTATATACATAAGTGCTGTGCATGCTGCTCAATGTAGGATATATATTTAATACACTCTGCGATGTCATGTGCTGGTACGGGGAGAGCGTGTGTACCGCATAGCAAGGTACAGCTTTCACTCAAAACATGTGTTTTTTCTTCTTGTTTTTTGTATTGTTTTTTTTTTTTTTTTTTTTGCAAATTTTTTTTGTTCACATCACAGCTTGTGCCAGCCCTACAACGCAGTTTCGTGCACTGTCGCTTGTTCTTTAGGTTCATTTTAAAGGGGCATTCGGTAAATATATAGGGACTCCATCAAGCGGGGGGACACCCCCTCGCCGCGCAAATGGTAAAAGTATGTGTAATGTATGCGTCATATGTACATGCTATGTGCAGGTGTTATGTTCACATGGCGATGTGAGCTTAAAAAAAAAAAAAAAAAAATTTCCCATCCTACATGTAACATGTTATGTATACATATATATATATGCGCACGCTTTGGAGAGGAACCCGACGTCCGCAGCCGCCATTTTAATGCTGTCCCATATGTATAATTATATTCACATGAGCATGTTTAAAATATGCACAATTTTGCAAATGTGCTAGTCGTACATGTGTACACGTATAAGTGTACTTTTTCGTGACCCCTTGGTGGATGCCAACTGATACGTTCACTTATGTGTACGTCCAAAGCAGCCGTATTTGCAACTCCGCTGCATGACTCATTCTGCGTTGGGAAGAAACTCGTAACCAAGGGGGTGGATACTGTGTTCATGTTGTTCGTTCCCGGCTTTCCCGCACACAGTTCGTTTTTCCCCTGTTCGATCATTTACCCGTTCGAATACTTGTCGCAAGCGGTTAATACCAGTTTGCCTTCTCCGTGGGAAAGAAAAAATAAAAAAAAAAAATGCGCGTCATAGTAAAAAACTAAAACAACAAAATGCTATAAATAGGGACAAACAGTCTCTTCCCTCATGAAAATAATAACGCAGCTGTATATATGTATATTTTTTTTTCCCATCCAAAGCATTCTCTAAATGGACGTTGCAAAACGGTAGTTGTACCCTGCTAGCCACGGTAGCTAAGCACTATTATAAAAACATTTTACGACCAGGGATAAACAACCCCCTTCGGGAAGAGTAACAGCGTGGTCATTCTCTACCTGCACACACTGCGGACATGACCCTTAAGTTGCGAAATCGTATAATTATATTAAATGAACGCTTAAACCCGACCATGCTTGGTTGAGTAGCTGTTCCCAGGTTACATGAACTCCGGGTAGGAGTTACACCCGTTTTCACATTTAATCCCTCATATAGCTGCTACGGGGATGTGGAGACATTGTCCCTAAACGTAAACCCCCCTTTACACCCACACCATGTCAACCCTGTGATTGCTAAACAGAGGTGATCACTGTATCAGTTCCTTTCCCTGTCTATTACATGTGCAACCAGTACAAGCCCGTGCGCGAGATAAGTATGTGCCAACCACACGTACACATTCGTCCTGTGTATAAATGTCATAAGGTTTTTACTCCTACCCTCCAAAAGACATTTTGGTTTTCCGCCTGTTTCAGCTTTTATGCTCGAGTGGGCACTTTGCATAACCCGTTCGGCAAGTACCCTCCTATGAGGTGATAATGCGAATAGTTAATTGCACGGACGGTTGTGTAAGCCTCCCTCTATGGGAAAATGCTCACATGTGCAAGTGCTGGTGGCGAAGCCGCTTGGGCATTCATCAAGTTGGAGTTTCGGCGGTCCACAATAGAATCAGCTGCGTGTGCCTTTTTGCGCTAAATCGTTTTAAGTTGAAAACGCAAAACTGTATCGAATGATCAACATAGTACAAAAGGCATCCATCTTTTTTTTGTTTTTTCTCTTGCGAGCTGTTACACTGTGGAGGAAATTCAAATGCATACGCGCGTGCAGAAGAGCAAAAAAAAAAAAAAATAAAATAGGCACAGTGTCGCAGCGTCGCAGTGTGCTCAAACGGACAGACTACGAGTTTTTCCTTTCCATGCGAAACACGCATTTGGGGCAGGCTACTTATGCGCACGTTACGGAGAAAGGCCGCTCCTTCCCGTAGGCCCTCGTCAGACGTGTTGCAAAGCCTTCTTACTATCCGCCTCGTATTTCAATTTTCGAAAAAGCAAAATGCTTTGCACCACCGTGTTTGTAGCATGGCACGAAAAAAGTAAATAATTTTTTGGCTTTATTGCAAGGGCGTATCTCATAAATAGTATACTATAGACGGCCAGAACGGCAGTCATTTTCTCCGAAACGAACATGGGCAATTTCTTCAAATCGTTGCAGCCTTTGGTTGGGAATGGGAAAAGGAAGGAAAAATGACTTTCAGCATGAGCGTAGGGGTGTAAAATCACGCGCAAAACTACGCGCCATGGCGACTGTCCATATGTTAATACCGTGCGAACTTTGCATACAAAAAGGAACAGCGCGATCAGTTCTTTAAAAAAAAATTACCCGCGAGGACGAAACCCCAGTTTGCTAGAGGGGCCCAAAACATGATACTAAACGCATTGCTTTTAACATTGTGAAAAAATGACGTAGCTTTTGACATGATGAATTGCTGTCTGTCAAGTGATGGAAATAGCTAGCTCGGAATAAATGTGTGTACATCCGTGTGTGCAAGCACAGTGGGGTGTGTATACCTCCTGATGTGTAGTCTAATCTTCCTCTCTCTCCTTTTTGCGTCGTCCCACTTGTTGTGTTCCTCACTGTACAAGCGTTGTGGACATTCAAACCAGATTCCAAGGAGCATATTCAGTGAGGTGCAGTGGCCAGTTTGTTATCAGCAGTTCTGAAAAAAAAATGTACACCCAATGGCATGCATACAAAAAAAAAAAAAAAAAAAAAAAAAAATTCAAATGTTAGCTAATTGCCCAAATGAAATGTTCCACGTGGCATGAACAAATAGTTACTTTTCCGGAATGAACAATTGGCAGGCTTGCGAAAATCAGAGGGCAGCGTTAAAATGGAAAAAAAATATATACATATACATACACTTTTTTTGGCACTTAATTTTTCCCCAAAGGTGTAACTCGATTGTGAGTTTTATTATTATTATTTTTTTTTTTTTCCACCTCGAATAATGCCAAGCGTAACTTTTATTTTGCATAATTTTCGCCAGGGGGAAAATTACATCCCATTGCGCCCCTCTGTTTTTCCTTTTTTTCTTTGCACTTTTTTTGTGCATATATTATTTCCCCCCCTCGCCCACAATTTGGCTGTATTTTATGACCATTTGAGGGTGCGGCGAATTTGAAAATCTATAATTGAAAAAAACGGATTGTGGTGACCCCCAAATGATGATGGACGCTCCCGAGGGGTAGCTTCGCCAATTAGGTGTTCCGCGTGTGTTAACGTTTTGGAGCGGCATACACCAATCGGTCCATCACATCAGGAAAAAGGGAAAAAAGTAGGTGAGAATGCATGCACATATGTACGTAGTACTCGATACGTGCCTCCATTTTCCGCCTTGGTGGCTAGCTTCCTAAACATTCCAAACAGTGCACAAGTCAAATGCATACCGGACTGTGCTGGTTAGTAGTGTCACCCATGTACGTTCTTTAAAAATAAACAGGAAACAAAAACTAACATTATAAAAATAGGCCAATTCGTACTGCCTCAAAATGGGTAAAGACGCATCAGGGGTACCTCCATGCGATAGAAAGAAGAATAGCATGACATTGAATTATGTCGTAATGAATGACAAAACAAAATGTATGCAGGGAATTTGAAAAGCGAATTACACGTGTACAAACTAACACATAGTTAATTTAATCCGAAATGAGAGCCTCCTTTTCCCATGTGTAAACATATTGTACTGCCTTGGTTTCCCTCTTTATTTATTTTTATTTTTTTTTTTTAAACATTTTTAAGTGATTTCACAAAACATCGCAGAAATGTGAAACAATCTCACGGGGCGGGTGAGGTAAAAAAAAAAAAAAAAAAAAAAAAAAAAAAAAGTAAACCACTTGGCAAACACACAAAAGTGTACAAAATGCCACATGAAATAAAAAAAGGGAATGGAGAAAAATACGAAAGCTTTGCAAATTTTTTCTTTTTTTCCTTTTTTTTGCTTTGGCTCGTTAAACGTTTGCCTTCCATTATTCTTCATATGATTTTCTCATTTTTTCATTCCAGTGGAACGGTAGATTATTTTTTTTTTTTTTCCCATTTTCATTTTCCCAATTTTACAACATTTTTGTACGTTCCTAATTTCCCCACATTTTTGTGCCTCTCCCGTTTTTGCCTCTTCCATAATTTTCTTTTTTTAATTTTCCACATCATAAACCTTTGGAGTAGCAATTTTTGGTCTTTTCCATCTATATGATTATGGTACTTTTTTTTTTTTTTTCCCCACCCGCGTCCAAGAAGTGTTAACGCGTTAACGTAACCTTTAAAGAGTCTTAAGTCGTTAAAATGAAACATTGCCAAGTGCGTACAAGTTGAATGCATACTTGAGTTATTTATATGTATGTGCTTCGCTTGTTTTTTCCCTGTTTTGCATGTTTTTTTTTTTTTTCCCGTATGCGCGTCCTCTTACAGACGTGTGTGCCTTTCCCCCCTCCTCCACTCAGTAATTAACCCCATTGGGAATAATTAAAAAATGCCATAAAGCCTGCGCTGCGAAAAACGCGACAGTATGCCCAGTGACAACTGGGAAACTCATCGATCGTTACTTTGCGCACACAGGCGTGATGTGCTAACTCGTGAATACATTCACACGTGCATACGTATGTGCCTTTTTCTCACATCCCACTGTTGATTTGGTTCACAGTGGCATCTTAACATTGTGTACCCCCTTCATAAAAAGAGGACTGCTAAAATTCGCGCAACTCTTTTGAAGTACATTTAACCACGTCAGGTATCTCTCATTGCCGAATGAGCAGCTGACGACAACTGCTCAGAGAGCTCATACCACCACTCGAGTTGTTCACAATAACGTCCATTTTGTGTGTCCCAAAATATAAGAAAAAAAAAATGCACACATAGGAGCGATCGTTGCGTAGAACATACACATTGCTCACACAAATGTAGACATTTTATTTCATTTTTCTCCTTATTTTTATTTTATTTTATTTTTTTTCGTTCATATCCCCGTGTGCAGAAAAATGTCTAGCGAAGAGTATGACCACCTTTATAAGATAATTTTAGTTGGAGACGCAACTGTGGGTAATTTAAAAAAAGGGGAAAAGATGGTTCACTAATTTTGGACTTGTTGTGGCGCACGGATTCCGTGCATTGTCTGCAGCACGTCGCTATCGTGGCAGTCACACGACTATCTCATATTCACGTCCGTTTTTTTTTTCTTCAAATGGGTGAACAAATTGGGGATTATTTTCTGACCGTTCAGGCAAAACCCACCTCCTGTCGAGGTACATACGAGGTTCTTTACCTAGCGTTGCAAAGGCGACAATTGGTAAGCCGATAAAATAATGAACAGCTAAAAACTGGCAACATGTTTGCTTCACCCATTGTTGCTTTTTCCATACGGAGGGATGCCATTTTTTCTCCGTTTAAATCCTATTCCGCAGGCGTCGAATTTGCCACCAGGACGATTCCGTTGGCGGTAGGGGGGACGGTCAAGGCGCAGGTAAAATAATTTCAGAAGGAAGTTACACAGAATGGTGCATGTCATTACACTGTTGCATATGTGCACACTCATCAATCGAGGCTCTCTTGCAAATCCACCCTACACACCCATACGCATATGCACCCCTTACACCTGGCCGCGACAACGTGCAGATATGGGATACCGCCGGGCAGGAACGGTACAGAAGTATTACGAGTGCTCATTACAGAAGAAGCGCAGGAGCCATACTGGTCTATGACGTGACGAAAAAAAAGACATTCCTGAGCATTTCCAAGTGGCTAGAGGAAATTCGCCAAAATGCCGACAAGGACATTGTCATTATGTTGGTGGGGAATAAGGTGGACCTGGTGGAGCATGACGAGATGAAGCGGAAGGTGAGTCTTCGTTCCTTATGTGTGTGTGGAGCTTCCTTACACGTGTATTATCCACTCCTGCAAAAATGTACGGCGCAAAATGGACGGCACGAAATGGACAGCGCAAAATAAACCGATGACGTGCTTCTTTTTTCCCATCTCCACGTAGGTGACATACGAACAGGGAGCAAGCTTCGCCAGGGAAAATAACCTATTCTTTGCAGAGGCCTCTGCAGTCTCCAAGCTCAACGTAAAACACGTGTTTGAAAATTTGCTCCAAGAAATATATAATAACCGCATGAAGAATAACAGCTGCAGTTTGAGCACGCGAAGTAGTGCCACCTGCGAAAGTGCTATCCAATTAACCAGGGCAAAAAGTACAATCAAATTAAATGATTTAAACGAAAATGAGAGTGAAGATGGGCGTAGAACTACGAACCAGTGCTGCTAAATTGGGAAGACCCCTTCAGATGTGTGGGTTACCATTTGCTATGTTCCCTCCGTCTAAGTACCAGCATATTTGTATTACTCAACCCGTCCAATGGCTTACAAAGGAGGTCTCCTGTTGGGGGGGGGGGAAAACAAATGAACATGTTCATAGCATACCTATTCACGTCGCGTTTAACATGACAGTGATGGTGATACTGATTTTTTTTTTTTTTTTTTTTTTTTTTTGCGCATTTGTCTAACGTAACCGTTAAAGTTGTTACTTGCGAAATATGTTTTTTTTTTTTTTTTTTTTTTCCCCTTTACACTGCCCTATTTGTTGTATAATTGTACACTTTTACTCTCATCTGTGTGCATATGCCCCTGCACTTTACGCATTCCCCTTTGATATTTATTTTATTTTATTTTATTTTATTTTTATTTATTTATTTTTTTTTTTTTTGTCACAAATGAAGATAATACCTTTGATTGCGTAAACGTCTCCTGTTTTTTTTTTTTTTTTTTTTTAAACTCCACATCCACCAATCTGGAGTTTCCATTTCAGGATTGGTAATCGTCTGGGCCCCCGTTCGCCAACGTCCCGTCTATCTCAGCTATGTTGTACCTTTAATTTATTATTTCCGCCTTGTAATTGCTCCCCCAGTGCGCAGTTGATGCGAAGAAGCACTGTGCCCACGTGACCACTCTAGGGAGTATCCAAAATGGTCCAGCTCGACAGGCTCACACAGCACACACACAACGGTTTGACCCTCCCGCCTTTGAGAGGGCCAAAACAATTTTGGACAAAAGACAAAAAAAAAAGGAACATTGTTGGACGACACGCTGAATAAGATGTACTGTAGGCCGTAGGGTAAGAAGCCTACCATGTTTAGCCTCGCCAACTGTAAGCTGCTTCCTTTTTATTTGTCACTGTTGGAGGCCTACCCTGGGTACATAAACACGGTACAATCTGTATTCCCCTCTTGGAAAATGCGAACTTGGAGTGTACTCTCAAATCCTGCAACTGTAAAAAAAAAATGTGTCCCCAAGTGGGGGAAAAAACAAAGCTGCTGGGTGACATTTCCCCCTCATATGAATGACTGGCTTTAATGTCCACAGGGTTTGCTTCCCTTCCGTTTGTCGCTTCACATTTTTATGTTGTTAGCAAAGGGTGAAGAGGGTTAAAACACATATGCGTCGGAAACGCGAGCTGTTCTCATTTGTTTTTTTACGCGTTATATATATATTTTTTTTTTTTTTTTTGATTAAATGTACGAATTTTGTAGCTGTTTCAAAGTATGCTATGCTGGTGTATCTTTACGCATATAATTTTTTTTTTTTTTTTTTTTTTTGCGCGTGTCGATTTCGCCTCCTCTAGCTCGGTTTGTGTTTCCCAGTCCGCTCTACCAAATTAGTTATCTGATTAGGCTATATGCATAATGTTGGGATGGCGGTGAAACTTAATAGCAAAACCTGCAACG